AATGTATAATTTTCTTCAAGTCCTCCAATTTTTCTAGTTAATCCAACTTCGTCCTCCTACTTTGGATTTTTGCATTTTTGTCACTGTTTGCTCGTTTTCTTCAATTCTTCATCACATATTGAGTTTTATCTACAAAATGCAATATAACATAAATTAAATAAAATTTAATCCAAAAAACAATAAAATATCATAATTTATGGCCATAAATAAGTGTATAAACTACACTTATCATGTATCTTATATGGTGAAATCCTTACTTTAGATTTAAAAGACTTTAGGTTCGATTCCAATCATATTATATCATTCTTCTAATTTTTTAACAAATTAAATTAAAACTAAAGAATTAAATTCTTCTAAAGAATTATATTAGTTTTCGTTTTCGAAATATTTTTTTAAAAAAAATTTATTGACTCAAATTATTATTTCATAGTATATACTTTTATTATTAGATTTTANTAAATTAAAACTAAATAATTATATATTATTAGTTTTCGTTTCCGAAATTTCTTTTTAAAGAAATTTATTGACTCAAATTATTATTTCATAATATATACTTTTATTATTATATTTTATCAATTTATTTTGTAAAATTAAATTTGGAAAATTTAAGTATTGCTCTTTTTCTTTTAAGAGTTCAAAAAATATTGAGTCAAAAATAGTTCTAATTTTAAAAATCATTGTTTTAAAAATTTTGCATAAAATTTGCCCAAACTTGAAGTGTGTCTTTACCGTCTATTCATGTTTTACATATAAACTTCATCTTGTCTCACTTAAATTCGTAAAAACTTGAAACTCGATCATCCATATATAATTGACAAATGTATATTTTTTTAATTATTTTTAGATTGTGTTGAATTATATTTTCATATATATATGACTTTTATGTTTCGGTTCATTTATATATTGATTGAAATTTTTTTAATATTATTTAATTAAATATTCATAAAAAATCTCACTATTGTGGTGGTCAATAGTCGCCCTAACTAACTCAACATCTTGGAACTGCCACTGACGCTCACATAAATTGTAGTCCCATATAGTCGAATCTGGTATGTGCATTTTTAATATATGCTCACATAAACCGCAGCCCTATATAGTTGAGTCTGGTTTGCCTCAAGTGTAGAGGTGGGTTGCCCCTATTCTTTTCAAGCATAGAGCATCTATTTAGTTGTTAATCTAGGCGGATTAACCTCCCAAGTAGGTGTGTCCAAAGATTTCGTACCGAATCGAACGGTTCTTCATAAATTAAATATCCGAACGAGTACCCGAATAGAGAACCGATAAGTTTGGGTCGGGTCTAGACCAAAAATCGAAGAACCGAAACTAAATAATTTATTTTTGTTTTCTATTGAATTAATTAAATTATTTTATGTTTTT